TTTTTCTTAAGTTAATATATCAAAATTGTAAAATATCCTTAGCTACTATGACTACCCAAAGTGAACACAATACACCTACTGTGCCGACATATACTGTTCCCACTTCTGAAATTATTATTCCCATATTTGAGCCTAATGTGCTGATCCAAACTCACGAAAATTTGGAGCAATGTTCTAATGTGCTGAAAAAAAATGCTGAGAAAGAACTAGAGCCAGAAAATTTTAAGAATTTTGAGCCAGAGATAGAGGAAGAAAATAACAGAGCCTTTTATTACTAGGGGCCAAAGCCGAGAGTATAGCTGAATATATGTATAAAATTCGTGATGATAGTATAAAACCAAGACAATTTCTCAGTACAGATTCTGAAGATGGAATAGAGACTATATTTACAGAGCGTCAGGGACATTCACTACACGAAATCATTGATGGAAATGATTCACTTTGTCCCTTTATTGATTTTGATTTATCTTAAGAAACACTAAATAAAATCAAACCAAAACTTATATGTAAAGAAGCTTATTATGTTTTAATCAGGGCTTTCAGAGAGCTATGTATTGAGATTTATCCAAATTGGGATATTAAAACCTTAACTGTTGCCAATAGTAGCAATCAGAAAAAAATGTCATACCATATATCAACTTTCAGACTTCGGCTCAAAAATATCACCAAAGTCATAGTGCTTACTGAGCTTGTCCGTAAAAAACTTCTAATAGATTTACAAGCCAATAGAATTGTTGATAATATTGCAAATAAAAGTTCATTCCCCTTATGAATGCTTGAAACACCAAAGATTATCAAAGAAACCAATAAGCATGTTCATCCAAAAAGAGCAGTTATACCTAAAAATAGTACCATTTTCGACTTTATACTTCGTCCTCCCCATGATGATGCAGAAATAAAGATAGTTCTATCTTGGAAACACTGAAAGAAAAAATATCAATCGAAGATAGACCAACGTCAGAAAAAAATAAAAATAATACTGAGACTATTGAATCTGAAATAGAATACATAGAAAAATTGCTTGAAGAGTATAAAATTGAAGGGTTTGAAGTTTTATACCCATCGCCTACACTTCCAAATGTATTCCTTCTAAATCGCAAAGTAGAATCTCAATACCCACTCTGTAATCAGGAACACACTAGTGATAATGTGTATATAATCTGAAATAAGAAAATTTATCGATATTATTGTTATCGAGCATATCAGGTACAAGAAAACCATCATTAAAACTTGTTTTTAACAAAACAATTGAAAATAAAGAAAAAAAATGTCTCCTTTCAGAAAAATTAGAATAGTCTAGAATTTCAGATCCAAATAATTACTTTTCATGAGGAGACTTAATTGATATGTGTACTTCTAAGAATATTTTTACCCGTAATGAAGTATATGAGGCAATTCAAACAACAGTTGCATGTATTCAAACATCTTCGAGATTATAGCTACTTAAAATGGCAGACTCGGATAATGGACTTTTCTTCGATATGGCACCTAAACTAGATATTGCTAAATATAAAATAAAAATAACTGAATATCAAGAAGAACCAATCGAATTAAAAATATTAATAAATCAAGCAGTTGTTGAAGGTCTGATTCTTTATCACCTCACCACCAAATATCAAGTTCTTTAATCTTTTTTTAGGATTCAAAGCTCAGCCAGCAAAAGAGATTAATCCCGCTATTATGGATCCAATTTTATGGCATATAAAAAATATAATCTCTGGTGGTGATGAAGAACTTAGTAAATATTTTTGGCATTGAGTAGGATATCTAGTACGACAACTATCTAAGAAGCCTGAAACAATTCCAGTATTACGTTTCTTACCAGGCTGTGGAAAAAATATCTTAATCGATTTTATAGGTAAACAAATTTTGGGTTCTGAACTTTTCTATGCAACTTCTGATCTTGGGAAAATATTGGAAAGATTTAATAGTTGTATTCAGACTCGCAAATTAATCGTTATGAATGAAATGGGAATGAGTAGTGGGGACTGGCACAAATATAATGATCATCTCAAATCACTTATTATAGAAGATTACTTAACAATTAAGCGCAAAGGACTCGAACCCAAAGTTCTAAAAGATTATGCTGGATTTATGGTATTAAGTAATCATAATGCTCTACTCCGAGTAGAAATGGGTGATCAGCGTATCGTGTGTTTCGATATATCTCCCTGTTGTAAAGCCAATACAGCATATTTTAAAAATTTAGCCAAAGTGTTAGAACACCCTGACACGCCTAGTATAGTTATAGCTTATCTACTCAGTCTTGATATCTCAGATTGAAATCTACAAAATATTCTTGTTACTAAAATGAAAACAGATACAATGATAGAACACCTAGTAAATTCAATTCGATTCATAATTGATTATATTTCATCTTGGCCTAAAAATAAGACTGAGAAACTAATATGTTCGAATTTATACCAAGATTATCATATTTGGTGTGAAAGAAATGGTGAAAATTCATTCACTAGTAAAAAATTTAGAAAAACTTCTCCAACAATTGGTATAGAACGCAAGCAAGTATGGTTAATGGAAAAAGAAAATAGATCTATATCCTTAACTGATCTAAGATCGTAGCTAAATTACATGAGTTAATAGATAATATCGAAGACTTTTCAGATATACCTCATGTCGGAATATCCACCAGCACATCCACAGAGATCTCTGTATTTGATATACCTGAAATTGTTATATCTTCCAAACCAGAAAAAATAGATCCCATTCTATTAACCACCAATCAAATTGAAAAAGGTAAGAATACATTGTCCACCCCATCTGTTACTAATATGACCCAGGATCTTTTCGATTCTATAATAGATCAACCAGAAAATTTAATTGCATCGTCATCTAAGTCTACAGATATATTTCTGCTTCCGAGATCATGAATATAGAAGTTGTGAATGATAAATCCAAATCTTCAGAAATTATCAAGGAATCAGAGATTCGAGATACTTTATTAGTAAATAATGAGCCAGAGATATCTTCTGATTTACCGGCAAATGATGAAGAAGCAAAGCTTCAAATTTTCAATTCACCCAAACCTAGCAATGAAGAAGCCAGTACCCAATTGGAAACATATCCACCTGGATATATCCCCGAGAAAAACAGAAAAAACGTCTCAGGCAGTAGGCTATAGATCATAATGAGGATCCCGATAAGTTCATGACCATTACAGATAAAGACAAAACTGATTCAATAGATTATCTTACAAGAATAGATGTTGATGCAAATACCTGTCTCTTTAATATAGAACAAGGTAATGATCTCCACGATTTTATGGAAATGACGCATCAGGAAAGATTGATAGAAGAAGAAATTTTACACCGTAGACTTGAAGATGCAGGCGAATACATATGGCTTGACACTGATAAAGAATGGATAAAAAATAAAACCATACTCCAGGAAAATGGATTGCTATGGTAAGTCTGTGAAGCAGGACACTCTGTGTCTATTACAACTCAGTTTGATCATTATAATAAGGTGAGAATAAAAAGGGTTTATAGGTAGAAACATCTAATGGAGGAGGCTTTTTTGCCTCTTCAAACTAGACAATATAAAAATTTTCAATAAAAATATTACAAAAACAATATGTTCTCATGCTTTATATATATCGTAAACAAAATGTGCGATCAAGAATTAGAAACTCGAGAAAAAGTACTTAATCTATTAACTAACTGGATGATAAATCTGAATAGACCAACATTCTATAAATTAATCCGCAATAGATATAAACATGTTAGTGATTTATCAAATTACTCAAAAATATCTGAATATATCGATTATGGTTGTTCTGATCATACAGCCTTCTTATTTAATATATAGAAGCCGGCAGTAATACCACTACCCAAAATATTACAAAACAGACCAGACATATATCACAAATATCTTATAACTGTTGAATCATGCCAAAATTTATTTGGATAGGCATAGAAAAAAGCATAATTAATTTCGATTTGAAAAAAAAATCCCCATAGTATATATCAAACGAAAATAGTCGATATAAACTATCTCAATTAACATATATATCAAAGACACTAGCTTTGCTATACTAACCATGGCAAAAATTGCTACATTATTTGTAAATCACTACAAATTGACACCTCAAACTAGTTTACTCCAGCTTAGTAGTTATGCCAAAAAGTTGGCTAATAAACTTTCAGTTGGTAAAACAAAAGAGCAGACCTAAAAAGCCAGAGATCAGGCCAAAAAACACTTTCAAGAGTTGGGATTGAGTAAAGAACAAGCTGATACTCTTATTCCTATTCAAGCTTCCAGGAAACATGTTTATAAAAAAGATCTCATTAAAATTATTGCCCAAGATATTATAAAAAATAATCTCTCACCTGAAGAAATAAATGGAATAGCATATGACTTGGCTTCTTCTGCTCCTACTACTGTTGCAGGAAATTTTTGTCTTAATTTATTACGGAAAGAGTTGCATAGCCTAGAAGCTGATTATCTCATTACTAAGGCAACAAAAATATCTTTTATTACTGAAGAAGCAAATCAGATTCAAGCAAGAAAGCGTATACTTCATAGAATTAATGGTTATGATTGTCCTGAGTTCTTTTATCTAGAAAAAGTTCAGGAAAGACTTAACGAATGTAATATTACCAAGCCTTCTTTAATGCAAAATCTAATAGATATAATGATAATGCTATGTATGTGATCAGCAGATGTAGAAAATCTTTGTATCAACTGATACAAACCAAGTAGCAAGTCATGGTATAATCCTGACCATTCTTGGTACTGTATTGGTTATGCAAAAAATAAAGATGAGGTAGAAAAACCTCAACCATTCCTTTTAATGGAAAAAAATCTAATATGGGCAAAAGAATTACTTATCTGGATTCAGAGATCAATACCGGGTAAATTTCCCTTCTTGTTAAAAGATAAGAATAGGAATACTAATGTTGCACCTCTTAATCAATTCTTAAGTCACCATAGAATTATCTCATATATATTAAGAAAAATAGGTGCTGATCATGCTTCCAGAGTACATGGAAGTAAGAATAATACTAGCTGTCAATATTTACAGCAATTGGCATATAGGCATAAGATAGGCCATGCTTCATCAGTCGAACATTATGGTGTGATGAATGACAGACCAATTGCTCTAACGACTAGAGAAAAAAATACTAAGATATCAGATATTATAGATCTATACAATTACTAATCATGCTTCTTTGTTTCGAAAACTTGTATATGTATTTCATTCTTGTCAATGCTAGAATATCTGGAAATGCACATCGTGGATTACAAATAATTTTATTTAGTAGTAGAGAATGGGTAATTATTTATCGAGTTATTTTTTCGGTTATAATATATATATCATTAAATAATATCGCAGAAAGCGCGTTATTCTGGCTATAGAATAGAGCGGGTAATCAGATATTTGGTAGCCTCCAGCTAATTTCAAACAAAGAATTTTTATTTGCTGTGATATATATATATCTGTGATAATTTTTCTTTTTCTACTTTTGATTCTAGATATGGGCACTGATTATCACTAGCCAATTTTTTGACAAAAATCTCATGCAATTGTTGAAGAGAGATATTCAGAAATAATGGTAGTCCCTCACCAGTAAACCAAATTTTCTT